GAATGACATAGGTTCTAATAAAAATCATCATTACTAGGTAATAAGTCTCTAAGCCAACTGCCTGGAAGAGACTTGAGGGTTTGGTGTAATCTCATCAGATAATCCAGCTCTTAGCAGCTGAAGATGCTGGGCAATTTTGGTGAGATCCATTTCCTCCTAATCATGTGCATATGGCAGCAATGGTAAAGCTGGTAGGTCATAGGTTCTCTCTCTCTCTCTCTTTTTTTTTTGACAGGCAGAGTGGACAGTGAGAGAGAGAGACAGAGAGAAAGGTCTTCCTTTGCTGTTGGTTCACCCTCCAATGGCCCCCGCGGCCGGCGCACCACACTGATCCGAAGGCAGGAGCCAGGTGCTTCTCCTGGTCTCCCATGGGGTGCAGGGCCCAAGGACTTGGGCCATCCTCCACTGCCCTCCCGGGCCACAGCAGAGAGCTGGCCTGGAAGAGGGGCAACCGGGACAGAATCCGGCGCCCTGACCGGGACTAGAACCCGGGGTGCCGGCGCCGCAAGGCGGAGGATTAGCCTAGTGAGCTGTGGCGCCACAGATTCTCTTCTGACAGCTCAGTTCGCTCGGTAGCGACTGACGGTCATCCTCCTGTGACCACTCTCGTATCCATTTCCAGAGGCATTCTTTCTCTGCCTACCTTTTTTTTTTGTTTGTTTGGGGACAATGTGTTGGTTATTAACACCATTTCTGTATTTATTAAACACTATTCATTCAACAAATACTTATTGAGAGACCACTATGCTTCAGGCACTAAGACTGGAAATTCAAGGATGAACAAAATAGAAGAAACTTCTGCCTCCTTGGATTGTACATTCTAGTGAGCGAGACAGAAAATAAACAAAATGTAAACGCAAGATAAACAAAGTAAGGCAGTGATAAGAGTTAACAGGAAATGAAGGATGGAGGGCAAGCTTTAGAGAGAGAGCCAAGAGCATCCTCATTGAGAAAGCTATTTTGACTATAGACCAGAAGAAAATGAGGGATCAAGTTGTGCAGATAACTGGTGGATTACCAATCCAGGAAAGAAGAGTAAGGGTCGTGGGGCTAGGACATACCTGGCAAAGCAAAGAGTCTAAGATTGCGAGAGTGAAGTAAATGAGAGGGAGAGTTATGTGTGATGATTTCACGGAGTTAATGCAAACCAGACCATGTATGACCTTGTAAGTCCCAGAAAGAACATTAGCTTTTGCTCTAAGTCCCTTGGGAAGCCATTGGAGGGTTTGTGCAGAATACTGATATGATCATATTTACTTTTTGACAGGATCACTCTGGATGTTTTGTTGACTGAGAATGAATGGAGCCTGTGCAAGGGTATGTGCAGGAAGATCAGTTAATTCGGCTATTGAAATTACAGACACGACTCGGACTGGACCAGCGTGGTGATGGTGGGGACAGTAAGCAGTCGAGTTCTGGATATATTGTGAATGGAGAGACTATAGGATCTGAAGATGGCTGTTAGAGTTGTGAATGCCTCTAAGACATTGCTCTAAGTAGTTGATAGAATGGAGATTCAGTTAACTGAGATGAGGATCATCAGAGAAGGAGGTGTTTTGGTGATGTGTGTGTAAAGATCACGGGTGATATGGCTATTGAATATCCAACTGTATGGATCTAGTTTGCGCTTGGATAGTTAAGTCTGAAATTGTGGGGAGAGGTCAAGTTGGAAATAGAAATCTGAATATTGTCAGCATATGAATAGTAGAGAAAGCCATGAGATTGGATGAAATTAACTAGACGACCTCTTAGAGAATGAGGTTTATGGATCAAAGCTTGAGACTCAGGGAGGTAAGGAGAAACTAGCCAATGAAGCTGAGATGTTATAGCCAGAAGACTTTGATGTCCTATAAGACAAGTGAAGAACACATTGAGAGAGAGAGAGAGAGAGAGAGACAGAAAGAGAGAGAGAGAGAGATCAATTGAGTCACATATTGCTTACAACTGAAATGTTATGAGAATCGTCAGGTGAAATTTGGTCATTTCATTCAACAACATGCAGTTCATCGGTGGCCTTCAAAAAACCACTGAGCTCAAAGTCTGAAGTCATCCAAGACATCTCATCAACCTCTATGTATTAAATAAGAAAATATTTTCAGTTATAAACAAGTAGTTTGACAGTGGGCTGGAGTGTGAGAACTAACTGTTAAAGAACAGAACCCCAAATTCCTTTCTACCGCCATGGTACACACCCAAGTGCTGAAAAGATGTGATATTTAAAACAAACAAGCAAATAAACAAACAAATAGAATAGACTCCAAATATTATTACAATAGGTAGTAGTCTTCAATGGAAACCATGACAACAAGGAAAAGAGGCCTTGTAACAATGTTGTGTGCATGTGTGTGTGTATAGTCTCTTTTCTTAATGTACTTATCATGCTGTGGCCTTGGAAAAAGAAAGCTAGAGGAAAAATAAATAAATGATTCCTCACATTTTGGGGGAAAAAACAAAATTGGTTTCATATAAGTGGCTAAAAATCCTTTCTGTCATTATCAATTTAAATGTAAAAACCCAATTAAAAAAGGATGGAGTTGCAGTTGTGTGGGTGGATCTGGTAGGAAGTCTAATTATGTGACAGCGTGGAGGGCAGTCTTGGCTAAGACAAAATCATATCCCTTTGATTCTCTGCAAACCTCATGCTCCACTTGTTTTGAACAAGAATTTGCACAGTGGAGAGAGAGAGAAGGGAATGATCAGATAAAGTAAAAAAAAAAAAAAATGAAATTTGGGAGGTGGTGTGGGAGGGAGGGAAAGAGAAAGAGAGAGAGAGAGAGAGAGAGAGATTCCATCTATTGCTTCACTCCCAAATGCCCACAACAGCTGTCTGGGGATGGGCTGTTGAAGGCAGGAGCTGTGAAATCAATCAAGGTCTCCTCTGTGGATGGCAGGAACCCAACCACTGGAGCCATCACCACTGTGTCCCAGGAAGTGCGTTAGGAGGAAGCTGGAATAAGGACCCAGAGCTGGAACTCCGATGCAGGTCTCCAAAGTGAGATCCAGGTGTCTGAACCACTGGGCTAAACAACCACTCTCTGGACCTGTTTTCTTAATTCAGAGCAGGAGCAAGTCCACAGGCCGGGAAATGTTTTATTTCTTACAGGCTCAGCAGCACAGACACAAGGTGGGAAATGGCATACCAATTTCTAAAGCGTGAATTTCTTTGTCAGTGCCCATGCTACCTGCTAAAAATCCTCTTTATTTCTGATAAATACTTCATTGTGCTCTACAGATTCCCTGCAGTGGGATGAGTTCAGGAAGCTGCCCTAGTGGGGATTTTTTCAGAACATTTGTCCACCTGAAGAAAAAATCAGAATTCTTGCTCTTAAGCTGAGGTATTCCAACAACTTGCACTATGAGGAAGTGAGAGTGATAATTACACTGGTATTTGTCTTAACAATTACCCGGATGCAGATCCTGAGGTGGACATTTTTGTACGAGTGATTCATTAAGGAAGTGGTCCCTGAAGAAATCAGTAAGGGAGTGGGGCAGCAGGACAGGAAAAGGGAAGAAGTTAAGTGGATTGTGTTATTTCGGGCCAAGTCCTGTAAGTGGGAAGTGATAGCCTAATCCTACAAGGGAACCCTAGGGTTGAGTTGTTCTGCCGCAGGGTAGCTGGGAGGAACCTGGGCTTTCACACTTTTGGTCAATGTTAAGGGTCAAGCTCTGGGCTAACTCCCAGGTAATTCTGTTCCCACAGCCCTGGAGTAATCCCCTAAAGAATTCCCAATGGGTGAGCCTTCGGGAATAAAACACATGAATCAAGGAAGGAATGCATGAGTCTCAAAGGAATTCAAGGAGATTTGGATGGGGTACTGCAGTGTCACATCATCATAAACATCTATTGAGCCTTTGCTAGTGCCTGGAAAGATTTATTTTTGTGCACAGTATGTCATTTCGAGCCAACAACACCCCTGTGAATCACGTCTATTTTACATACCAAGGCACTGAAATGGTCAGTAATTTATAAGTGTCCGAAAAGGGTCAGCAACAGAGGCGAGGCAAATCCTGGGCCGTCTGAAGGCCACGTCCACAGTTACAGATCTGTCTTCCCGTTGTATTCCTTACCTGTCAGCCTCACAACTGAAGAGAGAGCTTCAGTTCAGGAAATGCAGACACAGATCACAAAATAGATTGTAACTAAAAAATGCTCCCCCAAATGAAGGGATTATTCTATGGCTGAGGGAAGACTGAGAGCTTCACAAAAGGTTTTATTTATTTATTTTTTATTTGACAGACAGAGAGCGAGAGAGAGACAGAGAGAAAGGTCTTCCTTCCGTTGGTTCACTGCCCTAATGGCCACTACGGCCGGAGCTGTGCACATCCGAAGCCAGGAGCCAGGTGCTTCCTCCTGGTCTCCCATGTGGGTGCTGGGCCCAAGCACTTGGGCCATCCTCCACTGCCTTTCCGGGCCACAGCAGAGAGCTGGACTGGAAGAGGAGCAACCAGGACTAGAACCCGGTGCCCATATAGGATGCTGGCGCCGCAGGCGGAGGATTAACCAAGTGAGCCATGGCAGGGCCCCTCAAGAAAGGTTTTTACAGAATAGATTGAGCAGCAGGGCCCACATCTTTACATAGAATAAAAAAAGGCACTTCCCTGTGATTCTAGCAGGATTATTTTAGGATGGATTGAGAAAGTGTGCCCTAGCCCAAAGGGCTGTTGCTCAGAGTGAAATCCTATACATTCAAATTAGAAAGAAACACAAAAGAAAAAAAAAAAAAGGAAAGCAGCGAGCCGAGCCCAGCCTGCCGCGCAGGTGCGGATGGATGAGATGTTACAGCTGCTGTACACCTGCAGCCTCCACAGAAGGGGAGCTGTGGATTGGAGAGAAAAAGAGCAGTGACTTCAGTGTGGCTGAGGATGCTCGGAACCTGGCGGCCACCAGGAAAGCATGACATTCCTTGTGCCCAGGAATGGAAGTGTAGTGGTCTGCCGTGGCGGCTTGCTTCTGGGGCTTTTTTTTTTTTCACTTTTCGTCCCTTCTCACCCAAAGATCTCAAAGGCCATAAAAGAGACTTTTATGGAGAAATCGAGAAGCAACATTTTGTTGACACATGGATTCCATGAATGTGTTGAAAGCAGAGAAATGGGCTCCGTGACTTGTCCGGTGCAGTGCTACGCTTATCTTTGAGTAATCTGGTTTGATGACCTTTGTCCGTGCACAGCTCCTGCCTCCAGGGGAGTTTCTGAGTAAGCAACTCCGCTTAGACCTCTTAAATTTCCACATATACTCATGCACACGGCGGAGTATGTGCATAGTGTGTACTGCAGACGGACAACTTACCCAACACTTGGATAAAGGAGCCACTTGTGACTGTATTTTCCCCTCAGAAACTCTAACATGAATGGAATTGTTATTTTGGGCAGACTATCATTGCAATCGCACCCCATTTATCTATGAAGGTGCTACTTTGCAGATACCCTGTGGATTCAATTGATACTTCCGAACCGCTGTAGGAACTCAATCACCATTCACATCACTATTTCTCTCAAAAAATGAATTCCAAGTTGGATTTTGGATTGCAGACAGATTTCCATCCTAATATACCTCTTAGAGGAATTCTTGCTCAATGGGTGAAGCCAATAGCCTGAAGTCAATTGTCCCCTGAAGTTGCTCTTCTTGAAGCAAGCTGGTGATTTGATCTCTGTGAAAGAGAATTCTCCTGTTTTCCATCTTAATAACAGCCATTCATAGGACTGAGGAATTTGTACCAGAATGACAATTATTATTGAGCACTACTGTGCATTAGATATTGTAACTCACCATACGTAGATTATCTTACATAGCAACCTTGGGATATTGATAGTACTATCACAATTTTTTTTAAAAAATAAATTATTTGAAAGGCAAAGTTACAGAGAGAAGGAAGGAGGGAGGAAAGGAGAGAGAGAGAGAGAGAGAGAGAGAGAATCTTGTATCTGCTCATTCACTCCTAAAAAAGGCTACAATGGGCAGCATGGGGCCAGGCTGAAGCCAGAAGCCAGAAACTCCATCCAGATCTCCCACATGGGTATCAGGGGCCCAAGCATCTACCACTGCATTCCCAGGCTCATTATCATGGAGATGGTTTGGAAGTACACTAGCCAGGACGTGAACCCTGCATCACCACAGTGCGGGTCCTAGAAGCTCCCTTCTTGGAATGTGTTGTATGAGGATGTGAGTTCTGAAACGAGGGCCATGTTTTCTTCCTTATGAGTGAGAGCATGGTTGTGTTGGGGTAACTGCTGTGTACATCCTTAGTTTAAAACAATTGAGGTAGGAGATGGAGGGGTTGTAAGTGCATGACAGTCTGTGGACTCCTGGGTCAAGCCTTACATGAAGTTAAAGCCGTTTCTAGACTCGGTTGCAAGCATAGTTATATTTCCATGGGGTTTGTGGCATTTCACAGAGAATCAAAGAAGCGCACTCTCCAGGGAATGTACTGTCATTAAGAATTCTTACGTCTTCCAAACTTCTGGTGTGAGAAGAAGGAGGGGGGAAAAGAGCAGACCAACTGCTGCTGAAATATCCAGATTTTTAACATTTTGGAAAATCGCGTAACTATATGAACCGCTTGCTGGGGTCCTCTCAGAGCCACGGAAGGGCCCGGAAAAGTGAGGGATCCTAAAAGGTAAACTTCTTTAGTTTCACAGTGAAATTATCTTTGAAATGACCTGTTATCACTTCTTCCTATGCTTTCTTATTTTCTGTACTTTCTGCTTTCGCAGCCATTTCTCAGGTTATCTCAGCTTCTTAATTTAGTATATAATGATAGGTACTTGGATTTATATGTGACCGATCTAACACCTTGAGACCTATGGCTATATATTATCACACATAGAAGAAGGGATTGAAGATAATGAGGAATTATCACTATAAAGGGAAACATATTTTGCTTAAGATGTATTCATGTACTTATTAGTATATTTCCCCAAGTGAGAAAATGTGTACATACATATTTTTAAATTAAGCATATGTAAATACTTTGAAAATTTTGCTTCTCAGACAAACTTAGACCCCACTTTTAATTATTCCTACTAGAATTGAAATTTCAGTTAACTAGAATTATCAGAGAAAGGCATCATTTAATTAATATTTTTCTGCTTAACTTAAAATCATTAACCAAATCATTCTTTGTTTTCATCCTGTATTGTTCAGAATCTTTGTAAATTTTAAGTGGGCAGCTTTTCTCACTTCACAAGAAGAACAGCCTAAATGTAGTTTAATTTGATTATTTTGGTTACTGAATCATTTCATGAACGTGATTTCTAAACATCTCTGCCTTATTATATTTCTATTGGGTTGGGTAACACTGGAGTGACCACAGAAGATTTTGAAGTCTGGCTATGGGCAAGTTCTATTGGGAATGCAACCGAAACAGGGTCTATTTATGTGGGTTATAGATACTTCTATATTTAGTCAAGGCATTGTAAACATCTTTACTACTCTGCTTTTTGATACTTTGACTGAAACACTTAAGAGTTTCTTTGGGAAATAAAAAGTTTATTTCACCTTACAACTTGAGGCTATGGGATCTAGTGGCCCCAGAGTCCGTCTTCTGGTGGAATCTGCAGTGGTCAGTGAGACAGCAGAGATTATATTGTTAGCTAGGAAGCAGAATCTGGAACCTAGGCTGAACTTGAACTGAAATACTAGGACATCTCAAGAGAACCACTGTCCAAGGGCATGCCCTCAGTGACCCAAAGACCTTCCACTGCCTTCCTTAGGTCATGTATCCACCTTTCATCACTCAACCATTGACATGAAGACAGCAGAGTTCTAACAGCTGCATGGATTTCAGGTGAGACAAGCTCTAGTCAACTTGTAACACCATCTCAAGTGTGGGATTGCCTTCTAGGAACGCAGATTCTGTCAACGGTGCCAACTCATCTGGCATGGTTACAGAAACCTGCCTGATTGGGTGTCTATGCATTAGAAAAGTATATTTGTAGCAAGGAGGAACTGGGTTGAAATATAAGAGACGGAAGCCAGTCTATGAAAAATCTTCCAATTATCAGAACTAGAAAATTGCCAGCAGATGATTCAGTTCTTATCAATAGGAAGTGAAGCAGAAAGTTTACTTCCATCAGGACTATAATAAGTAATACTGCATATACAATGTTAATGCGGTATTTATGAACATAAAGGAAAGACTAAATTAATTATCTTTTAATTTTCATATAGACAATGTCATATCCAGGAGACATCAGAGTTTGTGCAAAAAAAGTGTGCTACAGAATTATTCTTAGGGGTTTAAATCCAGTTGAAAATTGATCCCTGTAAAAAATGAGTGGGAATAATAGAGGGAGGAGATGTACAGTTTGGCACACGTTCTCATGGACTTACACCTAAGACTAAAGCTAAAAACTTACCATGGGACTCCAAATACCATTAAGTTGGCAGGTACTAATGCCATCTGGCTAGATAAAATGATTTTTTAAGTGTATAACTGATCATAAATATAGGAATAAGTGTCAAGGGATCACATAAATAAGACCAAGTGTCTGCTAATAACAGATAGAATTAAAAAGGAGAGTATGTTCCAACATGGTAAGCAGGCCACACAGCAGACTCATAGAATGACAAACACCCTAAATAGCACTCTGGCCTTAGAATCAGCCCTGAAGGCATTTGGATCTAGCTAAAAATTCCATGAGAGCGTTTCAGGCATGGAAAGCCAGACACTGTGGCAAAAATTGGCCTACATGAAAGATCTCTGTGAGTGAGATCCCAGTGGAAAGAAGGGGCCATCAAAGAAGGAGGTACCTTTCTCTGAAGAGAGAAGAGAACTTCCATTTTGCTTATGGCCATGTTTAATAATGTTGGAGTTTGTGGACTCAAAAGGCTTCCATAGCCTTGGCAGCCCATGACAAGAGCTTCAGAGGATCACTAATGTCATAAATAAGAGTATCAATTGCTAAATCAACAACAGGAGTCACTGTGCACTGGCTCCCCATGTAGGACCTCTGTCCCTAATGTGTTGTACTATGAGCATTAATGGTAAAACTAGTCTTCAAACAGTACTTCATAGTTTGTGTGTCTGTGTGGGTTCAAACTATCAAAATCTTAGTATAGCGTTGATCTTCTGTATATAAAGATAATTAAAAATGAATTTTAATGGAGAATGGGATGGTAGAGGGAGTAGGAGGTGAGATGGGAGTGGGGGTGGGAGGGCAGGTATGGAGGAAGAACTGCTATATTCCAAAAGCTGTACCTATGAAATTTGTATTTATAAAATAAAAGTTTTCTTTTCTTTTCTTTTTTTTTTGACAGGCAGAGTGGATAGCAAGAGAGAGAGACAGAGAGAAAGGTCTTCCTTCGCCGTTGGTTCACCCTCCAATGCCCGCCAGCGCTGGCGTGCTGCGGCCGACACACTGCGCTGATCCGAAGGCAGGAGCCAGGTGCTTCTCCTGGTCTCCCATGGGGTGCAGGGCCCAAGGACTTGGGCCATCCTCCACTGCACTCCCTGGCCACAGCAGAGAGCTGGCCTGGAAGAGGGGCAACCGGGACAGAATCTGGCGCCCCGACCGGGACTAGAACCCGGTGTGCCAGCGCTGCTAGGTGGAAGGTTAGCCTATTAAGCTGCGGCGCCGGCCAAAATAAAAGTTTTCTAAAAATAAAAGTGTGCTAACAAATTTCCCTTTCCCCTCCATCATCCCCTGGAAGCCACAAATCTATTTTCTTCTGTGAGCTCTTCAGTGGGTGTAAAGTTATATGAGATGGATACGTTTTAGAGATCTGCCATACAACATAATGCCTATAATTAACAATATGGTATTGTGTACTCAAAATTTTGTTAAAAGGGCAGATCTTAAGTATCCTTCACACACACACACACACACACACACACACACGGCCCATAAAAACAACCATTCGTATTATTGCTTGCAACAATGGATCATATGTTTTTACTGCTAGGTAATATTTCACTGTGTGGTTATGACTGTTTTATCTATTTTTCTTTTTAAGATTCATTTATTTATGTGAGAGGAAGAACCACAGAGAAACAGAATAAGAGAGGAAGACAGAGACAGAGTTTTCCATTCACTGGTTCACTCCCCAAATGGCTGCCAGCAGCCAAGTCTGGCTCAGGCCAAAGCCAGGAGCCTGGAACTCCATCAGGAACTCCCACATGGGTGGCAGAGGCCCAAGTACCTGTGCCATTGTCTGCTGCCTTTTCAGTTGCATTAGCAGGACACTGAATCAGAAGCAGAGCAGCTGGGACTTGAACTTGCACACTGTCATGGCTGACATGGGTTGTTGGCATTTTAAGTGGTGGCTTAACCCCCTGAGCCACAATGCCAGCTGTTATCCATTTTTCAGTTCTGAACATCTGTGCTCTTTACAGTTTCAGGCTACTACAGACAAATTTACTATGAGCTTTTGTTTGTAACTCTTCGTGTTGACATATACTTAATTTTCTTGGAGAAATACCTGGATTACATATGTATATATCTTTCACTTTTTAAGAAGTTGCCAAATGGTTTTCATAGTAGTTGAAACATTTTTCATTTTCACAAGCAGTATATGAGTTTCAGTACCTCCAAATCCTTGATGCAAAGTAATTTTTTTAAAAGAAAAATTAGCCATTTTTATAAGTCTGTAATGTATCTTAGTGTGGTTTTCATTGAATGCTGTTGAAGGTCTTTCCCTATGCTTTTTGGACATCTATTTATCTGCTTTCGCAATGTGAGGGTGAAATCTTTCTCTCATTGTTTGTTTTTTTTTTATTAAGTTTTAAGGGTTTAAAAGTATATGCATATATGGGATATAGCTATCTTATCAGACATGTGATTCATAGATGTCTTCGCTCAATCTGTGACTCGTCTTTTAATTTTGCTAACAGTGTATTATAAAAAGCAAAAGCTTTAGAAAAATTTGATGATATCCAATTTATCAATATTTTCCTTTACAGATTGTGTCTTGGGCATCGTCTCTGAGAAGCATTTACCTAGTCAAAGCTGCAAAAGTTTTCTCTGAGAAGTTTCACAGGTTTAAGTTTTACATTTAGGTCACTGATCCATGTTGAGTTAATTTTATGGTGCAAGATGTGGATCAAAGTTTATTTTTTTCTTGCATATGTGTACATCCAATTATTCTAGCACCATTTGTTGAAAAGACTAATCTTTCTCTACTGAATTGCCTTTGAAATTTTGTCAAGATCATTTGCCTGTATATGTGTGGGTCTATTTCTAGACTCTCTTCTGTTCCATGCGTCTATTTGTCTATCTTTACACCACTACCAAACTGTCTTGATTATTGTAGCTTCATAATAAGTGTTAGTTCTCTAAATTTGTTCATCTTTTTTTTTAAGTTTTTTTGGCTATTCTAGGTCTTTTGAATTTTTATATCAATTTTAGAGTCAGCCAGTTAATTTCTGCAGAAAAGCGTGCTAGGGTTTTAATTGGGATTATTTTAATTCTATGGATCAGTTTGGGGAGGACGGATTTCTTAGCACTATCGAGTTTTCTGACAAATGAACACAGTATATCCAGCATTATTTAGGACTTCTTTAATAATTTCAATAATGTTTTATAATTTTCAGTGCATGGGTTTTTCACATTTTTTGTCAGACACAGCCCTAAATATTTCCAATTTTTGATGTCATTTTTAATGGATCCTAAAATTATAATTTTAATGCATTCTAAAGATTATAATTTCTGATAGTCCATTGCTAATATATAGAAATACAATAGATTTTTGTACATTTATCTTTTATCTTGAAGCATTGCCTCAACTCACTAAATATTTCTAATAACTAAAAAATGTATTCCAATGGATTTTGTACCTGATCAATTTTGTCATTTGTGAACAGGGACAATTTTATTCCTTCCTTTCCAGTCTGGATGCATTTTATTTCTTTTGCATGGACTAGAAACTCCAATGCCATGTTGAAGGAATGTAATGAAGGTGGACATCCTGCTTTGTTCTTGATCTTAGTTAAGGCTGTATTTAAAGGTTTTTAGTTGAATTTTTGTAGATGCGCTTTATTGAGTTGAGAAAGTTCTTTTCTTTTTCTGGTCTTCTGAGAGTATTTTGTTTTTTCATCAGGAATTCATATTGATATTTCAAATGTTTTCTCTGCAACTCCTGAGATGGTCATATAGTTTTCTTTATTTCTTTTGTTTGATTCTTTGTTATGGTGATGGTGTATGTTGATTAAATTTGTACTGTTAAACCAACTTTCCACCCTTGGTTATGACATATTATCTTTTTACCTAGTGTTATATTTGATTTAGTCAAATTTTATTAAAAATTTTTTCATCTACGATCATAAAAGATGATTTTCTGCAGATTTTTTTTTTAGTAATATCTTCAGATGTTTTTGATATCAAGGTAATTCTGGGTGAATTATTTGGAATGAGGTGGAAAATATTTCCTCATTTTCAAATAGCTAGAAATGTTTATGTAGAATTGGTATTATTTCTTCCTTAAATGTTTGATAAAATTGTCCAGCGAAGTAATGTGGGCCTCAGCATTTCTTTGTGGAAAATGTGATACCTATTTATTCAATGTCATTAAAAGATGAAGGGCTATTATGTTGTTTAGTTTTTTCTTGAGTGAGATTTGGTAGTTTATGTCTTCCGAGGGATTTGTCGACTGCTTCTGAGGTGTAAAGTTTATTGGCATAAAACTGTTTATAATAGCTCCTCAGTTTTATTTTGATATTTGCTGTGATATCACTTCTGTTGTATCTGCTATTGATAATTAATATCTTTTCTCTTTTTCTCTGATCAGTTTAGCCAGAGATTTACGAATTTTATTGAATTTCTTAAAGGAAGCAGTACATTCATTCAGCTTTTATGTGTCTGAAAATTATTTATTTTAGCTACGATTTTGAGAAATCTTTTCAATGGTTACAGAATTTTAGAATGATGTATTTTTTCCTTCCAGTAGTGTAGATATATTGCTCTACTGTTTTCTTCTCTTTAGCAATGTTTGCAACAGAAATCTTTTGTTATCCTTATCTTTGTTTTTCTATACATATCTTTTCCTTGTACTATTTTTAATGTTTTCTGTTTATCACTGCTTTTGATAAAGCTGATGATTCTGTGCCTAGGTACTGTTTTCCTTGTTTCTTTTGCTTAGGGTTTGCCCATGTGGTTTAGAGTTTTAGAAAATTTGAAAAGTTTTTGCCCATAACAGCTTCAGATGTTTTCCCCTCCACATTATGACTCCAATATTGTATATTAGGCTGCTTGAGTTGTTCTACACCTCAGACTATGCCTGTTTTATAAAGTTGTGTGTTCTTCATATGTTTCATTTTGGATTTTTTCTGTCTTGTTACTCTTTTAAGATCAGTAAGCTTTTCTTCTGTAATGTCTGATCTGGTTTAATCCTAGAGAGTGTATTTTCATCTCACACATTTAAGTTTGAATCACTGAAAGTTTGATTTAGATCTTTTTTATACATTTCTTATTTTTGCTTAACTTTTTGAACATGTGGAATACGGTTATAATAACAATTTTAATATCCTCCTCTGCTAACTCTAACATCTGTCGTTAGTTCGTAATCAGATTCAATTGATTGATTTATCTCCTTATTATGGATCATATTTTCCTATTTCTTTGTGTGTCTGGCAATTTTTGATTGGATGCCAGATATTGTAAATTATACTTTGTGGGATGCTGAGTCTTTTTGTGTTCCTAAAAATATTCTTGAGCTTTGTTCTGGTGTACAGTTAAGTTCCTTGGAAACAATTTGGTCCCTTCTGGTCTTGCTTTTAAGAATTGCTAGACAGACCAGAGTTGTGTTGATCATGGGCTGATCACTCCCCACAACTGAGGCGAGATCCTTCTGAGTACTGTACCCCATGTTCTGGAAATCTTGAAGTTTTCCCATCTGCCTGGGGATCTAGGAACTATTTTTGCTCCCGAATGCTCACTGGGCACTGCTACCTGTAATTTTCTGGGGTGTTTCAGGTAGTTTCCTTAAATGCATGTGTTGACCTGCACTCAGCTGAATTGTCAAGGGTAACACGGTGTCGTTCTGGACCTCCTCTGGGCAGCTCTTTGCTCCCTGGAGCTCAGTGCTGTGAACCCCAGCAACCTGAAGCTCCTCAGATTCTCTGCTGCATTTCCTCTACAACGCTTGTGGGGCTTGTGGGTTCCCCTTCCCTGCATATGGCCTGCAAGGTAGCAAGAGGACTCCTAGGGTTCTCTTCTTTTGTTTGTCATATCTCAGGGATAGGTAGCTCTCATTGCCCAATGGTCTAGTGTCTTGTAAATTATTGCTTTGTATATTTTGACTAATTTTTGCTTGTTCCATGTGAGAGAGTAAGTTGGTTCCTGTTTCTCCATTTGGGCAGGAAGCAGAAGGTCTCCTTATTCGATTTTTTTTTTCTTTTTTGGCTTTCACTGGATTTCTAAAAATCAGAATAAAAAAAGGAAAGAATCTTCCAGGAATCACAAGGAGATTTCAGCTATGCGTGTAAATGTTTGACAATCAAACAGAGCAATGGGCCAGTCTTAATTTCAATTTCAGTTATCTGTTATAAAAGAGAGGGAGTTGCATCAAATTCACAACTCAGATGCTATGTCAGCTGCTACGACTGAAAACTCGAGAGTGAGTCCTGGAGAAACAGAATCCCTGACCATTGTTGATATTTTTGTGAAAGGAGACTTCTGTTATTTTAGCAAACAGAAAGACTGAATAAAAATGTCAAAAAGAAACTACTTTTTAGGAAAAAAAAGAAACTGATTTACTACAGGAATCTATTGGGGATAATTACCCAGAGCTTTGGTTGATCAGGAGGGCTGATTTAAAGTTATTGTTTTTGCAAGTTCTGCTAAAAAACAAAAAAAAACAAAACAGAGATTTTTCCCTCTGGCTTTGTTAGTGCTAGAAAAATTCTTTTCACAGCTGTAGTCTCATGTAAACTGCAAAAGAGGATTTTGGACTCTGAGTTCTTCAAGCCTCCTTTTCTCTAATACAGAGTAATAATGGCTAATGATTAAAAACCTTGAAAACTATAATTTGAAATAGTATTTTGACTCTTGATCTGTAGTCTGGGAATACATCGTAGGAACTTTAGATGGTGCCTTCCTGCTACCTATGAGGTCAGGATAGCCTGAACGCTCATCTGACACCTGTTCCACTCTGATGATGTTGATTAATTCAGAATGGAAAGGTATCAATTTCACAATCCAGAATGCCACATTCTTGAAATGCTCTTCTCACGGATGATATCAAATGGACTTTGAATTAATTGTAGGTAGATAGATGTCCAGTCCTTTGGATTCCACTGTATTCTTTCATTTAAAAAAAAAAAAAGTCTTACTTGACATTTCTCAACAATAAAAATATTTTAAATAGTTAATTAAATATCACATCAAGAATTATAATATCTCCAAATTATATCTGGTTCTCTGATCATGCATTGCTGGTTGTTTCTAATTTAATCTTTTGTTAAAATATAACCATTAAGGAGCCAGTGTTTAGGAGTAGAGAATTAAGCCACAGCTTGTGGCACTGGCATTCCACATCAGAGTGCTGGTTCAAGTCTCTGCTTCCAATCTAGTTTTCCACAAATGAACCTGGGAAGGCAACAGAAGATGCTGGCCCACTGCCCCCCATGTAGGAGGCCAGGATGGAGTTCCAGGCTCCTGGCTGCAGCCTGTCCCAGACCTGGCTGTTGTGGCCATTTGGGGAGTGAACCAGCAAATGGAAGATTTCTCTGTCTGTCATCCTCTTTCTTTCTCTACCCACTCCCCCTCTCTCCCTATCACTCTACCTTTCAAATAAATAATTTTTTAAAAAATCTGATCATTAAGTTTAAAGTCAAGAGACCATTGTTAGAAGAGAATTTCAATAAGATGTAACAATAACAATACAATAAAAGGTTAAGTATGAATATTATCTACAAATAAACATGGCTTTGGTATTTTATGCTTTTAGAAATCAATTTTACTTTCTGAGACTTGAAAACTTTCAGATTTTTTTTAAAGTGTTTTTTTTTTTTTTAAAGATCTACTTTACTTGAAAGGCAGAGTTAGAGAGAGAAAGAGAGACAGCCAGCAGAAAGAGAGAGAGAGATCTTTTATCTGCTGGTTCAGTCTCCAAATGGCTGTAATAGCCAGGGTTGGGTAAGGCTGTAGGTAGGAGCCTGGAACTCTGTCCAGGTCTTCCAAACCAGTGGCAGGGACTCAAATACTTGGACTATCTTCTGCTGCCTTCCCAGGCCGTCAGCAGAAAGCTAGACTGGACTTGAACCAGCACCCATATGGGATGTTGGAGGCTAGGTGATGACTTAACCTGCTGTGCTACCACTCCAGCTGCCAAAACTCCCAGGTCTTACTTCACATTAAACACTAAAGGCTGATGTCATTTTTCTTCCTTCATTTCTCCTTCTGAGTGGGGGCATCCTGGGTTGTTGTGAGAATGGGGCTACCAGAGTTGTAAGCAGACCAATGCTAAGTCAAGCATTATGGCAAAGTGTGGCCAAGTGCCTCTCCTATCAGATGGGCAATACCTTAAGTGCTTGATATTGGCCAGATGAGTTCCTGTCGGTGTTGATGGGCAGAGCTGATACTGAGACTCCTGGATGTTGGCAATGGTTGTCCTAGGAGCCTTTCCCTTCCCGTGGGACTGCTGGCTACCCAAATAATGGAGATTTGCTGAGAGGACTGAGCAACCCTAGGCATTCTTAGAATTTCTAACCTCCTATAGCTTCACTGGCCAGCCCCCGAGGTATGCAGGGGGCACTATACCTTATTTAGAAATGTCTGTCTTCTTAAAACTAGTATCCTTTTGTTCTTTCCCATTAGACTTGGGGCCTTCTTAACCCCTTAGAGCTAATCATTAACAATCAAAAATTGGGTTCCATTTTCTCGGAGTCAGGGTGAAATGTTTGCATGCCAACTTTTCAGGACTGTAAAGGAACGGAAGGCCCACAGAGAGGAGAAGTTGGCTCAGCTGAGAGAGAAGACACAGTAAACGCACAGTTTCTGTGAAAGTTTGGAATTGTGGAACCAGCTAAAGACATAGAGATGCCTTGATGAGTCTGCCTGGCTTACCAATAAAACATACAAATTAAGTTATTTGGAAACCTGAAATTTCTCAAAGTTAAAATTTTCTAGATATTCTTCTTGTCCCACCCCATTATTATACAGCCACAAGAACTGAGTGCCAAAGAGAAGTTCCATGGGTTAAGAATTTATAGAAACTGGAATCCTGTGTCCCCTGACTTGTGTCTAGGGCCCCTACAATTACCATATACTGCCTCTATAAGGCCTGTGATCTTCAGAAAGAGGTGATTTTGGTTGTTTGAGGCATCTGTCTAAGGAATCTTAGTTTTTTTTCTTCTATTTGAGCTTGTGCTTGCTTTTCCTAGTGGATAGATAATAGTCTTGTGTCTCTTAAGTTCTTAAATCAGATTTTTTAACTATGAAATTTAATTAGTGACTCTACTTTCCCAGTCAAAGGTGAGATGACACAGTTTGTAGGCTAGAAATACATTCTTATATAGTTCTTACATAGTTTGATTTTATGGTGTGATTGAATGATCAAGAAAATTACCTTCTGCTTTTCTTTACTTCTTTGTATTTAATTGGGGCATGACTTTTTCTTTTTGATCCATAGTATGGAAGATTAAAAGAATATAGGAGGGGCCAACATCCCATATGGGCTCCAATTCTAGTCCCGGCTGTTACTCTTCCAAACCAGCT